CCCCAAGACCCCCTCCCCCTCCTCAGTCCTCCCCTTCCTCTTTGTCCCCTCCCCCTGTCTCGGTCACCAGCGCCCTCCAGAGCAGCCTCGTCCTGAAAACTCGCCCCGAGCTAGCACGCCTTATGGGTCACTCGCTATTGTAGCTGAACAACCCAGACCAAAGAGAAAACCAGGAGCACCCCAAGTTTCCAGTCGAAATATTCCCTATGTCTGTGGCAAGGTGGGACGGACTGCCCGTAGAACAGAGACACGGTGAGCAGGCTAGCTGATGTCAAGCCCGTGCCCCGTCCGTCTCACTCTGATATTTCCAAACGCGTTTTTCTTTGTGTGTCCCTGTTACCCGTCTCTGGATATTCTGGGGGCAATTTAGAGAAAACCGCCGCTTCCTATGCATTCTCTGTTGTCATCATCACCGTCTTCACACCCTCCGGCGTTGGGGAGCTGGCAACTTTGAGTAGTTCCTAAGATGCTGCCCTGAGAATTTCACAAGAAATGTCAGCTGCTCAGGACTAGTGAAATTAGCCAAACCTGCTTCCTTTCAGGTGCTCTCTCTGCGAAAAAATACTGCATTACCTAAGCATTGCAGTTTTTCTGACGTCTTTAATGACACAAAATGGTACCATGTTTTCACAGATCCGTATTATTATTTTTTTAATCTTCATGGCCATACCCTCCCCCACCTACGTTAATCCTAAAGAAAAAACACTGCATCAAATACTTGTAGTACTCAGGCCAATAAGGCTGGCGGTTTTTTTTTTTAAGGGCCAGAGGAACCGTAAGAATTTACAGTCGTTCTTAGGGGGTAACCTGAAATCTGGAGACATATGAAACCCAAGGCAGTGTGTGGAAATTCATCTTCTCCCCACAAGGCCAGCCCTGCATCTAGTTTTTCTCCTGCCTCACAGGCTTCCCAGCTCTTCCAGCCGTTGGGAACACCACAGGAGGGTAGGGGTGGCCTGGGTAGTGACCCTACCCGTGCTGCACCCCACACTCCGGCTAGAGGGCTTGAAACAATTTAGCTCAGTTGCAATATTTTCACGCAAACTACGAGGGTGCCTAGCATTTTAGACTCTGAAAGAGAATGCATTTGAAAATCTTTGGCGAATTCAGTATTTATGCGCCTTCACTCCACAGCAAAAATCAGGTTTAACTTCTTACTTATTTAATATTTTATGCAAACACATTTAGATCTTTTAGTTTTCCTTTTCTCTTGACCTTTGTTGCAGAGTCCAAAAAATAGTCTTTGAAATACGTAAGTAAGCCACATTCCTATTTTTCTTAAAGCATCTATTTTTTTTTTCAACTTTGTTTTTAGAAATTAGGTTTAACCTCAGAATGAGAATGATGTGAGGGCTGAAAAATAATGGACTTTATTCTTAACAGTGCTGGGATCTTCTTAGAGGAAGTATAAGGTAAAATTTACTCTTTCAAATAAGAAGTGTAATTTCTGTTCAATGAAAGATGGCCATTTGTTAGGGAAGTTAAAGGTGGAGGAAGGAGGTTGTTTATTAGTCGGAGAGGACCGGAAATGATGAGAAGAGGTGAGTGGGTGAGGGTAAACCCTGGATGTGATGAGTCTTTCAATAAACAGAGACTGGAGGGGGGAAAGCAGGCATTGCCGGTGTGCCCAGGAATGTGGTAGAGCGGATTTCTCCCTCTGTGCCATGGGCAAAAGGTAAAACACAATTTTCAGGAGGGATTAACTGGATTGCTGTTGTGTATCATGTATCCACCCTATAAATTTAATGTTAGCTCATTTAGTGAGGGGACTAAGAGAGGAAAGAAAAAGAAAACTAAATAACTCCTCTCTATACTTTTTTTTTTTTTTGGTTTCCTAAGGAAAAATGTTTTAAGTAGTATAACATTAAAAAAAAAAAAGAAAAAAAGAAATGGGCACGTGTTTGAGACCTGCACGTTTCTTACAGGAAGAGTATTTACGTGTGGGAAACACATGTTTTCAACACCAGCAGTAACCAACTATTTAAAAGAATTTTAGGCTAACAAAAAATGCGGCCTTCTCTAATGATACACCTCTTGGAAGTCTAATTTGGTAAAACGGAAATTTATCTGCTATTTTTTAAACCACTGAATGTACCTCAGGATTAGACACATCTTCCATCTTTTAATACGTGTCCTATTTGTGTATATATCCACCTATGTACTTGTTTAGAAGCAAGATATGCAATCTTCTTACTAACAATAAACATTGTTGGATATATAATTAATGTTCAGAGTCTTAAGATTTACTTTGGATTATCAGAGCTACAAAAGACTATTTTATGGTTATTATTATCTTTTTTACAATTGCATCTTTAGCAAAAATAAATTATAAGGACTGTTATATAAGAGAGTAAGATATTCTACAAAATCTCTCAAAATTACAAAAACACAATTAGAACAAATATTAAATGTACCTTTTTCCTTTGAAGAAGAAACATTTTGCTAAGTAAATACACTAAAAATATCACTGGGTGAATATCTGACTCACTGAATGGAACATGCCATTTTTAGAAGTATTCTGACTCCATGCGTGTCCCCATTGCTGAAAGGATGCTGTGCAAGGCAGCTCTTCCTTTTTCTTCTCCTTGGACCTACTCTCCCAAGGTGAGTTCTCAGCTCTTTGGCATTCAGCTATATCAGACCTCAATCCTGAGTTTGGACCTGAATATCTTCCATCTGCGGGACCTCCCCCTTTCATGTCCCTCTGACAGGGTAGTGGGTATAAACTGAACTCTACCTGTTTTCTAGGTACACACGCATACACACACACACACACACACACACACACACACACACACACACACACACACACAC